GCCCTGAACAATTTATTGATAGAGATACAGCTTCTGTCCCAAACAACTTGTGTGAGCAAGTCACAAAGTCTGGCTTTCTTTCTCTACACCTTCTAACATTCACCCCACTTTTCTCCCTTGTGATTACTGAGCTGCTGTAGGATAGCACTAGGAGCAGAGCAGGTTTTGCCAAACGATCCCACCACTGCAGGAATACAGGCAGCTGGCCCTGAAAAGTACAGCCTAGCTTACTTCTCAATATTTTTCCTTACCCAATGTGAACTGCAATTAAAACTGTTTTCCTTGTCACCATGGAAAAGGTTTGGGTTTAAAGCACACTGTGGACTACGTGGGGACGAATGGGGATGGCGCCAGGCTGCTGGTGGGAAGCAGTCAACGATTGATTAAGGGTTTGATGGCATCCAAATGCTTACACTGCTATAAATCCCAAGGAATTCCTCTGTCTTTTTACCACTGCAAACAAGACTAGAATTGGATCTGGCATTTATTCCTTGACCGCACCTGGATGTGGGCAGTGTTACACTGTGGTTGGGGTTCACGGGGCTGACAGCTCTCTCTTCTGCCACAAGTATATTTCCTATCCTACCCAAATTCCACGCTTCAGAAGAGAAAAATACCACAAGGCTTTTCTTTTGCTTTGTAAATTAAAAGAAAACACTGATTTCCTCCTCTGCAGGGCAAGCTCGGAGACAGGATGAAGGGGTATCCAGTGGGACCTGGCAAGCTGAAGATAAATAAGTAGATAATGAGATAATAAGGGAATGGATCAATCTGTTTTGTGTAAATAATGGACAAATAACGTGAAGGCACAGCGTGAGGGTGCTGGCAGCTGCGGGAGCAGCCCCCAGCCAGGGCCGGGTACCAGGCGAGCCGGGAGCTGGCAGCTCCACCCCTGGCTGCAGCTGTCAGACCAGCATCTCCTACCGGGGAGCTCCTTCCCCGCAGGATGCCCGCGGCGAGGGGAAAGCATTCCTGGAGATATTTAGGCATGCCGCGGGGTGGATATATTTGGGATGAGGATGCCTTGCTTGGCTGGAGTGACACCCGCAGCTGCGTCCCCCCGTCCTGCTGCGCCGACGCCGTGCAGGGACCGTCAGGCAAATCCATTCCCTGGCCACGGCCAGAACCGAGCAGGAAAAATAGCTGCAAGTCACCAGCTCCTGCTGACGCATTCGTGGGTGGGTGGCCGGCACCCGACCCCTCCAGCAGCCCCAGCTCTGCCAGCAGCGCTCCACAGCCCCAAAATAGCTGCCCCCAGGGAGACCACAGCTAATCCCCCGGCTCAATCACCATGCCAATGAATTTGGGCCTGGAATCAAAACAGCCAAGCTGGTCTTTGGGAGAATTCAACCCGCACAGCTGAGCTCCTGGCTAAAGCAGCTCGGCCACCACCATGGAGTGGAGGAGCCCATGACATGGAGGAGCCCCTGCTGCAGCTCCAGTCTGGCTTTTAAATCCCAGGGCAGCCGCAAGCCCTGGAAAACAAAACACCAGAATGCTGAGGACCCGAGGAGCACCCGAGGCCACACTGGAATGCTCGGCCTTTGGGGAGGAGGACAGGGAAGAAAACCAGATAACCCAAGGGAAAACACCTCTCAGTGTGGAAGGACACTCTAGTCCTTCTCCCTTCCTAGGAGACACTGTTCATGGCCTCATGGCCAGCTTCTGGAATGAATTATTAAATTAAAAACCACCTGGCATCCCATTCCCAAAGTGTGTAGCAGCTCACACGAGTTCCCCTGGTCCACGATAAAGACTTGCACATCCAGAGACATCGACTTTCCCTAAAGAAGCATGGCTAAGGAAGCCAGCAGAGCTGAATGCTGTTGGACAAACCTTCCCAGAGAGCTGGTGCTTGTCCACATGGTCCAAGCCCAACCTCATCAAACACTCCTGGTGCCAAGAGACCCCTCGGCTACATCGGAATGCTGCAGTACCACTGAGGTCAGAGCTCAGGTAATGCCTCTGAGGGTAAGATGGGAGCAGCATCTGCAGCCTATAAATAGGACCAATGAACCACAATTACAAACTCTGCTGAGACAACTCATTTATCCAGATGTTCCCATCGTGTCACCCTCAATTGAGCAGGAAATGATGGGCCTTACAGGCACTTTCCTGCTAAATGCTGCTGTACAGGAAATCACAGCTCCAAACCTGAAGCTGTACAGGTCCTGGCAGAGGCAAAACCTCACAGCATTTCTCCTTGCTTCAGACAGGTTTCAAGCATCAAAATTCCTTGGTTCGGGGGAAGATATGAAAAGAACAGGCTCTAGGCAAAAGGTGGGTTATTTCCAGTTCTTCATCTCACACCTGGAAGAAGTCAAATCCTTCCCCTTAAGCCAGAGGGGTGACCAGCCATCTATGCCACCCCCTGCCCACTCCTGCTTATTGTCCAAAAGGGGTTGGTGATTCCCACACACACCCAGGGAGCAAGGCTGCTGAGCAAGGTGGACAACCAAACCCCATATCCTTCCAGCTTATTTACTGCAGTAGCTGAGCTACTTCTGCCTGATTTTTCCCAGTGTCCTGAGGGCACAAGAGGATCAGAGGAATGTCACCTCTTAAGTGACCCCAAGCCATGTGTTCACAGGGATCAAATGGACTCAGGCAATCAAATTAAACACTGCAAGCTTATCAACATTTCCTCCACGAGCCTCAAGGATAACGAGTTTAGCTGAAGCTATTTAGGAGAAAAACAGGATGCTGGAGATAAAGAACAAGCTCTTCTAAACACCTCTGCTCCCTGGGCAGTGGCTTTGCTGGGGGAGAAGATGCCTGCAGACAGCACTGAACCAGGATCAAAAGCAAAGTCATGCTCCTGGGGGGACACTCAGGACACCCAGTATGTATGTTTAGAATCACAGAATAGAACATAGAACCATTAAGGTTGGAAAAGACCTCCAAGATCATTGAGTCCAACCTTTGACCGAAAAATACATAAACACAGGTGTGTGTAGTTTTTAACCTGGCACAGAAGAAAGGGCCATGAAGCAGGAAATCAACCAAAATCTTGCAAAAAAATTTTTGGGCAAAACAGCTCATGGCACACAGCACCACCTACTCGCTGTTTCCAGCTGACCTCCATCCCCACTGGTGTCCCAAGAGCTCATTTTTGTCCTTTGCTTCATTTTCCCAGGGAAAGGCCATGGCCCAACAATGCTGTACGACATGGAAAGTCAGCTGAAGGCGGAAAAAGGGGTTTTATTTTCTCTTTTCAAGCCCTCATGGTGACACGTGGCCACCCCTGACTGGTCTTTGCAACTTCAATCAAAACCCTCTCATCAGGAGAACGATTTACTCCATGGTGGTACCGAAAAAACTGTGCTGATTCTAAATGGGAAAGAGCTAATCCAAGGAAAGTGCTGTTTGGGTGGTTTGCAATAAGAATAAAACTGAAAGAAATTCCCCAAAAATCAAACACACTCCCCCATAAGCAACATGCCTGCTCTCCCTGATGGGGCTGCACTGAGCAGGGTTCCCTTATCACTCTCATTATCCCCCAAAGATGCTCCACTAGGGAAGCTGCATCTCTGCTTCTCCCAAGTCATAAATCACCACTGACTCCCTGACACTGATTACAAACAGGAGGCTTAGCAGAGGACTGCCATGCCATACCATTCCAGCCTCTCCCTCTAGTTGCTTAGAAAAATCAACACACAACTCCTGGAAGCAGGGGGGGAGCCAGCAGGTCCAGTGGGACAGCCTGGGATTTTCTCACAGAAAGGGTCTGAGGGCCTCTCAGTGGGTTATGGGGTTTTCAAGCTGAGTTTTGGACTGACTGGAGAACCAGAGTGCTGAGAAAAAAATTAAAAATCTCATGGAAAATATGTCCATCAAGCTGTGAGTCACCAGAAGCTGTGACAGGGGTCCCAATCCACTGCTTTATTAACTCATTGATTCCCAGACAGTTGTGGTCTTCTCCAACTGAAGCTCCATTACTGAGCCACGTGGTTGAGCACAACCACCATCCTGACTTCCAGGCACTGCTCAGGTTCAGCTCCCTGAAAGCCTCTTTAAACACGGAATGGCTGAGCTTGGAGACAACCTCTGGAGACCCATCTCCCCTCGTCCAAACCCCCCTGCTCAAGCAGGGCCACCTACAGCTGGTTGCCCATGACAATGTCTAGCTGCTTTTTTAGTATCTCCAAGGATGTAGATTCCACATCCTCCCTGGGCAATCAGTGCCACTGCTCGGCCACCCTCAGTGGAATAGCATTTCCTGGTGTTCGGAGGGAACCAGGGTGTTCAGTTTGTGCCCATTCCCTTCTTTGCCACAAGGACACATTTCTGGCCCATGCTCAGCCTGGTGCCCACCAAGATGACCAGGTCTGGTTTCTATCTGGGCAGCCCCCAGCACGTCCTGGTGCCTGGGGCTGTTCCTCCTCAGATGCAGGACTTTGCCCTTCCCGTGGTTGAACTGCAGGAGGTTCCATCAGCCCATTCCTCCACTCTTTTAGATTTGTTGCCTCTGGATGGCAACACAACCCACTGGTGTGTCATCCACCCCTCCCAGTTTGGTGTCATCTGAAAGTTTGCTGGGATTACACTCGGTCCCATCACCCACATGGAGAGGTTAAGCAGGGCAGTGTTGACCCCTGGGACACACCACTAGTTGCTGGCCTCCAACTGGTGTTTGTCCAACAACTGACACCCCCCTGGGCTTGGCTGTTCTGGCAGTTTCCAACCCACCTCGCTGTCTGCCCATGCAGCCCACACCTAGTTGTGGGGATCTTACAGGAGATGGTGCCAAAAGCCTCACTGAAGTCCGGGCAGACAATGTCCAGTGCTCTCCCCTCCAAGCTCACCTTGTGGCCCCACAGGATGGAGAAGCCCCAGCAGGGGCTGGGCCCAGCAGGGGTGGAGCCAGGGCAGCACCAGCAGCAGAGCGACACAGCACATTGTTTATCTCCCGCCAGGAAATAAAACCCCAAACCCAAAGGCAGGTGCAGGTGGTCTCGGGGTGCCAGGACTAGAGGGACGAGCAGAGGGGCCTCACTTACCCCACGGTCTCATCCCAGTCGCACCAGAGCCGCTGCCCGATGCCCTCCATGCTGAGCTGGAACTGCTTCAGGCAGTAGTGCCGGATCATCCAGCCGTAGTCCGGCTCCTGGCACGCCGTCGCCGCGATGAAGTGCTGGGCTGGAAGACAGGCCAGGGGCAGGCAGGGTCAGGCTCTGCTGTGGTGGGTCACGGCACAACCACAGCCCCTGATCCCCACAGAGGGCACCCACCACAGCAGAGTTGAGACCAAAGCAACCCCGCTCTCAACCAGTTGCTCCAAAACCTCCTTGAGGTTGATTTCCCTCCTCACACCCCTGGGACCCTGCAGCACCAGCCTCCATTCCCCTCCACAGTGCCTGGTGCTGATAAATCCATTATTCAAGACATGTCAGGTAAGTCAGAAGTAAGGACACGGATTCATTCTCTGCTGATCGCTCGGCACACGCCTTTGGACTTTAAACGTCCAAGGTTTTGGTTTACAAAACGAGTAAGGGCGTTGGGGAAGGTGGGGAATAACCCCATGGCTCCCAGTCAGATCCCTGCTGGAGCAAAGCACCTGCACAGGGCCACATTTGGGAACAAATGTCCACCTGCGATGGAGTGCAAGGTCTGGCACAGGGAAATTCATCCCTGGTGCACGGCACTGATTTAATCCCCCTCTGGGAACATGTCCCTGCCACATGGTGCCTTCTGGTTTGGGAGCAGGGAAGGAAGGGATGCTGCTTACAGGCTCGAGCACAATCACTGCCATGTTGCTAGTGGGGGGAAAGGGAAAGGGACAGTGATGCTACAAAAGGAAGGGGAAACAAACCTTCGGAGGAATGATTTACTGAGCCTGGCTATAAATAATACCTTTCCCTTGGTCCCAGAGAGCCAGCTCATGCCTTTTCAGCTCCTGGAGTACACTACAGGCAGGCATCACATACCAGCTCTATTTTTTGCCATGTGTGAATAACTCTGTGCTTTATTTTTATCTTGTTTTTTTTAACGCAACAGAATTTAGCTGCTTTTATTTAGCAGCCAAGGGACATCACCATGGAACATCATCCCTCTGCAGCCTCCGAAATCCTCGGAGCACATAGGTACCAGCATCCTATAGCAACGGGTGGGAACTCAGGGAATTTGGGTGATGTTTCTGGTTGGCTGCAGGGCTCCCACACTGCCTCCCCCCACCAACTGTGAGTAAGTGTTAAACCCTCACTGTTGCAATAATAAAGAATTGAGTTTATCAAAATCTAAAGCTCTCCCCAGCTGATACCAGCCAGGGGCTCACCTAATAGCACCTCAGCCAGAGATAAGCCCTGCTCAGAAATGGGAGGGTTTGAGATGCTGAAGCAAAGCACGGAGGGAGGAGGAGAAGGTGGAGGAGGAGGAGGAATGGTACAATAATTTTATGTGAGGCCTGGACTGCAAATCTCAGTCTGGGCAGGCTCAAGGATGATTGATGGCTGGGAGGTTTCTCCCCCCTTCTCATCCCTCGGTTGAGCGAGCACCAGCATCTGAGGGAGGCTCAGGTGCCACCCCAAGGGGTCACCCCTCGGTGAGGTCTGTGCACTGGACTGTAAAGGACAAGGGCCCTGTAAATATTATGCCCATCACATGTCTGGACAAGCAGCTGCAGAGAAAACGCCTCTGGGGAACACGTCAAGTGCAGAGCAGGAGAGCAAGGGGAAGAAGGGAGAGCAGGGGAGGAGAACAGACCAAAAGGCAGATGGATGAGGGGCCGAGGGGGTTGAGGAGCAAAGGAGGAAACAGAGCCAGGAAGAAATGAGTGAGACACGCAAAGCACAGGGAGAAATTGAGGAAGACAAAGCCACTTTAGGGAATTCAACAGTGATGTGGCCCAGGGAGAAAGAAAAGTAGGAGTCAATCGAGCATGGCCTGTCTTTGCTCCTCCCCACTCTCACTTAGCATGGGTGAGCCTAGAGACAAGTCCTTTGCACCAAAACTATCCTTTGGGATGCCCAAATGTTTCCTGACAACCACACAGCTGCTTGGAGAAAAACACCTTAAGAGGCAGCTCCGCCTTGGGTGGAGAGAGGAGAAACACTGAATAAACCATGGGGATGAAGCAACTGAGAACCATGAAGTGGCTGCAAGGAGCTGCAAGCCACATACAGCTGGTAGTCAGCAGGGAAACCAGACCCATCAGCCAGTGACCAAGACTCTTCACATGGACATTTGGTTTTTAACATGGTGAAGGGCTCTTTTGTCTTACACATCAGAAGCAAACAGCATCCAAGAGGAGCGAGGCCCAACAGAGCCCATTGTGTAAGTGCTGCCAGGATGGAGCCGGACACAGCAAGGCAAAAAAGCCCTTTTGTTTTCAGCTGACTGGGGAGAACCAACTTGAGCTGTAATTACACATTTTAAGGTCGAAGTGAGGAGAAGCTCCTGCCACATTTCCACGTGGTCCCTACCTAAACCCCCAGATCCCTGCTGCTTTACAGATTTCCCCCAAACCCGTGTCAGGCTGGGATGGGCTCAGGGTTTGCAACAGCAGGGGAAAAAAAAAAAGCAGAGAGAGAGTTTTGTATCTCCTGGCTCTCATTCCAGAAGGCTTTCCTTCTGCCCTCAGCCCTGCTGATGGAGATGGGGTAAGTCAGCTGCAGTGAGCTGTAAATAACTGAGCTCCGGCGCGGTCACGTCTCTGTACTTAGCAGCATCCATTTGTGAAGGCCACAAGGAGCTGCTGAATAAATGAGCTCCAAAACACAACTATACCGAGGCTGAGCCTCCAAAGAGCTCCCCTCTCACAGGCCCCCGTCGCTCCCATTCCCTCAGGAAAAATGGCATTGGGAGCTGTGGGAACACAGTGGTCCTCTGGGAGCAGCCCACTGGAGCCATGCAGTACCTCCAAAGCTCTGTTTGGTCTTTAGGTGCCACCTCAACATGGAGAATCACAGAATCCCAAAATGGTTTGGGTTGGAAGTGACCTTAAAGCTCATCTCATTCCACTCCCCTGCCATGGGCAGGGACACCTTCCACTATCCCAGGTTGCTCCAAGCCCTGTCCAACCTGGCCGATGGGGCAGCCACAGCTTCTCTGGGCAACCTGTGTCAGGGCCTCCCTACCCTCACAGCCAAGAATTTCTTCCTAATATCTAATCTAACTGTGCCCTCTGTCAGTGTGAAACCATTCTCCCTTCTCCTATCACTGGAAGTGTTGATGAACAACCTTCCCTGCAGAGAGAATCCCTGATTGCCTGCTAGAAGATGTAAGCTTAAGGATCCTTCATTTGCCTCCTCACAGGAAACATCTGGAGAGCAGCAGTGGGGAGGTGATTGGAGGGACAGCTTTTGCAGCATCCCAGATCCTCCTGATTGCCCTGGGATTGATGACCTGGAGAGTTCCAGCAAGCATCTACGAGGATTCAGCTTACTGAGAGTTAGCTGCAAAAAACCTGTCACACATTTATTTCTGCAGAAAAGCAGTGTTGGTCCTGAATTGTTACCAAAATTTCAGGAAAACAACTGGACTTTCTGGGTCACCCTCCAGAAACAGCTCGGTGGGTACCACCCACTCCTCCTGCCACCATTGTGAGCCCACACACTTTTTACAGTGATGGTTCGCCAGCAGAAATCCCCAAGCTTTCTCCACAAGGAAAGTTTTGCATTTCACTCTGCACAATTTCTTGGTCTCTGGCCACATTCTCCTCAGTTTTCCGGGAATTCCTGGTCTTGTCTTGCTGGGACATGTAACTAACCCCATGGGGAAGCAGATGCAGGGAGGACCACGGAGCCCAAGAACAGATTTGAGCATTTCAAACCGGTATGGCACGGGATGTTCCCAGTTCCCAGGCATTTTTGCAAGCCTTGCCACTCCAGCTCTCTGCCATTCGACCTCTGGATGCTGCCCAAGGCGTGTGTGCACTGGGAGAGTCTGGGGCAGCAAGTCCCAAGTAAGGCAGTTTCATTTTTGGGGAGATCCCACCAAGGTGGACTCAAAACCACTCCTACTCTCACCTCTCATGAGGAGTTGTATAAAATTAACTCAAGGAGTGAACTGGGTGGGACTCCACCACCTCCAAGAAGTCCAGAGCACTGAATGGATCCAGCTGCTGGATTCATGGCAGTGACTATCTTATTTTGGGGGGAAACTGCTTTGCTTCATAGCAAAGAGAAGGAAATAGCCATGTATTCATCAAAAAGCTTGGAGGTCTCATTAAACCCCAAAGATGGCAGAGAACTGCAAAGTGACACTCACAGGAGGGCTGGCAATGAACAAGGCACATGTAGCACCAGCAAAGCTCTGGGGTCTAAGAACAAACACCTCAGTATCTTCCTCTGGGCTTCTTCCAGATGCTGTAACCCCCCCCTGTGAAATGATTAGTGCCCTCAACACACCGGAGACAAAAACAGTCTGTTTTCCCCTCCCTTTCGGGGTGGTGGCTTTGCTGTTTGACTGAAAAAAACGCTCGTGGTTTGGACTCGGTTGCAGAATAAAACCCAGCAAGAGCTGGAAATCTGGTGTTTGTTCACTGAGTGTGATCCGAGCCCTGCATTCAGCACAGCCCCATCCAGTGGGATGAATCCTCCCTCAGCAGGTACAAACCTGTGAGATTAAACCAGGTACAGCCTAACCAGACAGACGTACTCCATGCTGCCAACCTGTCTACTCACCAGCTGGGAAGGAGGTGGTCTCTTGGGGCTAACCCCAAACCTGATTTTGTCCCCCTTTCTCGTGGCAAATAACCCCCAGACACCTCAGACTCACAGCTGTCCCTTCCAGGCTGCTCATCCTGGTGACAAAAACCTCCAGTGGGGATCACAGCTCCATGTCCCTGCTGGAGGTACCACATGGCTCTAGTAGAGCAGGTTTTGAGCAGGGGGATTTTGCAGGCACAGCCCTGAGAAACCTTGAAAGCACATGTTCATTCCCTCAGGCCACCTCATTTTCCTTTCCAACCCTTCCCTTGGTGTTGGGACCCCCATTTACACACAGACCAGCCAGGCTGGTCCTGAGAAGTGCATTTCTCAGCATCTTCCCTTTCATTCAGCAGAGCCAAAAAAAAAAAAGGAAAAATTGGCCCTTCCAGTATCTGCAGACCCTTGGGAAGGGTCTGATTCCCTCTGCTTAAAAATACACCTCCCACCGGGGCTGCATTGGGCAGCCGCCAGCTCAGCAGAGCCTTTGGA